CAAAGAAAATTAAAACCGGAGGCCTCCGCTCTGCGGTCCACTGAGCCCCGCCAACACTGTCAAGGTTGGAGAAATCAGAGATTTCGGGTTTTCTTCCAGTCCAGGAAACACACAATGCCTGGGAGTCGAACTCACCTGCTTTTAACTCTTCACTGCTACACCCAGGGGACTGGAGAAAGGAATGTTCTAAATCCATTTCCCCTTCAATTAACTCAAGGAGCTGGCGACAGCTTGCTAAGGAAACTGTGGCAGGGCCCGGGTATTTATAGGAGCAGCAGACAAGCAGAGCATCCGCTGGAGATGCTGGGACCACGCTCTTCTGCAAAATTGCATGAAGTCGTGGGGAGAAGTGTTACTACAAAGCCCAGCAGAGATGCCGGGAAGCAAATAAAGCTGGTGCCAGCTGACAGAGCAGCCTGAGGTTCAGCGCAGATTTTTATTTCTTTGGAAATGTAGAGTAATAATTCTGTAAGCAAAGTCCCTACACATAAAACTTCTATTTTCAAGAGAAAAAGACTAACCAAAAAATGCAGTCTGCAGCCCGTGGCTTTAATCCTTCATCACCGTGAGCCACACAGATGTGGCCAATGGCTTTCGGTGGCACGACTGGCAGCACGGCTTCAGTTACCACGGAGCTCTCAACGCAAGCATTTTGTTGGATGGACACAGGCAGGGGAAGGAGAGAGATAAAACGTAAGTAATGATAGCTCCCGGGGATTCATATCTTGTAAACAGCCCCAGCGGTCCTGGGGCCGCTCTGGATCACCCGGCACAGCCTGCAGTCTGCGTTGTACCTCAGGCACCAAAGGAGAGAACAGCCAGCTTAGCGGAGGCTGGCCTGGCTCCAGTGCCTTCACACTCAGGCTCGGACTCTCTAGAGTCAGGACTTTTTCCAGGCTGCTTATCCTCGGAGGTGCAAGTGTTCCGCATGATGCGTGTGTCCCCTCGACGGTGTGCTACAAACGCCAGATCTGGCCTGCAGGAGGCGGACGGTACCACCAGCAGCCTCCAGCCTTGTGTGCAGCCGGACTCTGAGACCCTGGGCATTGCAGGAAGCTGTGCCAAGCCCCAGCCGAGCCCTAGCAGATGAGGACAAGGTCTAGAGGCCAGACTTGGAACACACACACTCCTGTCTGCCTGTTCAATGAGGGCTAAGTCTCTGAGCTGGAACTGCTCTGGGAAGGCAGGTCCAAACCGCAGAAGGCAGGTGCACTGCCCTCGACTGAGCTTAGAAGCAGCATCATGCAGAAAACCACAGCAGGGCCTCCAGCCCACAGGAAAAGTGGGAAGGTAATCACAAGACTCCCGGGTTCGAAGAGCACAACTGGCCGCACCCTGCTAACCCGGCCCATCTTAAAGATTTTACCGCAGACTCTTCCAGAAAAGGGGAAGCCAGGAGTAGAAGCGGGGGAGGCAGGCTGCAAACAGATCCTGGTGTGTGTTTTACGACAAAAGTTTCAGCATCTTCTTCGATTAAGTTCTGAGAGAAGGGAGCCGGGCCACAGATTCCACCGGGAGCGGGTCCCACAGCGCTGCCTGCGGGAGAAGCCCTGTTTACTGGCAGTAAGGAGGGGGCTCGATGGGAGGGAAGAGCAAGGGGGCACAGCCAACATCACCGACCAAGGCACAGCAGCCCAGGGCAATGGGGACGAAAGCCGAGACGGGACTTGTCTTTTACGGCTCATGCGTTAATTCTGTAAGTATTACGTAGGCAACTGCCGCGACTCAGGCCGTGCTGTAGGTGCTGGGAGCAGAGACAGGACAAGAGTCACCCCATCACAGCAGCTGCATTCGGGGGACGGAGGCAAAATGACACAGAGACAAATGCAATCATCTGTAGTGAGTGCCAAGAAGGGAGAAAGGAGCCGAGTGGGGGAGCTTGCAGAAGGTGCTAGAGAGTAAGGAAGTCATGTGGGCCTGGGGACAGAGGGGCAAGGAGTGGCCAGGACACGTGCTCCAGACAGGGGAGAAAGCGACAGCCCTGAAGACGGTGACGGTGCCCACATGCACCGTCTGCCGGGCAGCTGCAGCCAACCCCGCCAACACACCCACCGCGTCCCTCCGATCAGTGTGGAAGCCCAAATCGAGGGCCATCGCTTCTCCACGAGGCAGCACCCACCCCCCATCCCCCGCTCCCAGGCCCTATCTGGACAGCTCCCTGTGTTAAACAGGGAGGGGCTCTGGACACAGAGTCCAAGTGCCCTAGACTGTCCACCGCTGGCTTCTGTCCAAGTCCTCTGTGCGGACCAGGGTAGCAGGTGCTGCTTTATTCTGGCCATTTGGCTGCTAAGACTGAAGGGACCTTTGCTCTGTGTCAGCTAGAGTCGGCCAGACTACTAACCTTCGGACACTGCCCTCTCCAGCCGGCTGTCTGCTTCACATTGACCCCGGTGACTTGGTGTGCTCCGCCCTAAAGGAGAAAAGTCCCCCAGTGGAAAACACTGGACAGAGCCATGTTATTCCTACCTGATAGCAGGGCACAGCATCCCCTGGTACCCGGACATCACCTGACAAGCAGGTGCACTGCAACTTGGGGTTACAGACCGGGAGGGAGGTGCAGGGCTCAAGGTCACCTTACTGCAGGCATCTCCCAGCGGGCGCTCACGGCCACTCACACTCCCTCCACGAAGAAACCAGCTCCTGGCGGCAGCTTCTCAGTCGTGGGGGAGTGCAGACAGGAATCAACAGACAGATGAAGTCGAGTCACTTTGTTAACAAGAACTCAGATTAGATTACGCTGTGATTACAGTGGTGGTTCTGCGGTGTGATAAATTGGTTAATAACAGGATTCCCAATGTAGGAGCTTAATGGGAATTCAATAATTACAGGTACCCAGAATTGTACTGTTAGCCCAGGAAATGCTAGCACCCACCCTCTGACCTAATAACACAAAACCTATCTGGGCCTATTGAGATGGTTATGATCTGGAGAACATGCTTTCAATACTAACCAAGCACCTTGACAAAATTACTCTTTTGTACCTAAAATACCATATTGGATGCTATACTATCTTACAGACTCAATGGCAAGGTTCTTATTTTCCTTGTTAAATGTCCAAGTTGAAGAATTCTTGAGTAGGTACTTCTTAATCATTGTTAGCTCTTGTCCCCATTATACAATTAGTGATCAACAAATGATAAGGAGAAAATAATATCTGAATTGCATCTTATAGTTTAGGAAACTCTTTCTTTCAGGACAGGGGGAGTGGGGAGGATCCTTACCATTTTTCAGTAAGATACCAGGACAGTAATTATTATACCCCTTCAAGTGAAGGAAACCGAACCTTAAAGAGGTGAAGGGATTTATCTGAGCCCCCACTCACCCCCTCCCCGCTCCGCAGCATCAGATGAAAAAGCCAGGAGGGAAATCCCTGTTCTTCCCACTGAAACAATAACTGAGGCTCGTGTTTCACAAAGGCAGCATGTCCTGAGATCTGCACTTTTCACAACTGTCCCCAAGAGGAAGCATGACTACATTATCCCCTGTTCTAGATTAGCAAGTCATGAGTGCACGGGGTTTTATTCTATTTCCTAGAAACTGCAGCATAACTCAAAGAGGCCCTTTGAAATGAGGGGGGGAAAATAATTTTTGTTTTGGGAACAGGGGGAGAACTAGCCATAAACTTCTCTGACAATATTTTTAATTTTTTCACTAATACAGTCTTTGATGATAAGAAAAATGGAACACTGGATTTAAAGCATAAAACGGTCCATTAGATGGGTCTTGAACTTGTTTTTAAAACTCCAGATAATACAGCTTTGCTGTTTTTGTCTTTGCAAAATGTCAAAATGTAGCTAGGGTTAATGGTTCTCTAAATCAATAGGACATCATATGTTTGTAAACGGTTTACGGTTCCACTGGATGTAAAATGTTGAGCTCATGTATTATCACCACTGCTGAGCCTTAGTGAATCTACTGACATTTCCACCGGCACCCGGCACAGAAGTGGAGGCAGCACAGAGTGGACATCTCCGGAGGCCTGGCGTGATGCAGCGCCCAGGTTCAGATTCTAGGGGTACACAGGCAAGGGAACCAAAAGGGAGGCGAGGCCCGTTGCCCCTGGGCTGATCACAGAACAGTGACACTGGAGCAGGGGGGTCCTACCCAAAGTTAGGGGGTCAACAATGGTCCCTTCCAAAGCCATGAACGGATGGGAGGACTCTAGGCCAAATGCAGCATTCTCAGGAGAAATTTCATAAGACGCAAGAGAACCAGCTTTAACCCTGTCGTTCTAACACAAACCCTGTCACTACTGGCAAATGTCCTTCCCCATGGCTGCATGTTTGCACATTATGGCTTCAGCCATGTAACTACAGTTTTGTTATTTTCACCGAACACTATCTTTTTGCCTGGAAAACTATCTTTGCGAGCAACTGAGTGATACTCAATGGTGTTGACTTGATAAAACACACTCTTCTCCCCAGTGTTGGATATTTGGGCTCTTACCAGCTTTTTAGGCAGATGAGGTTTTTTGCAAAGGAGACCAGAAGCCAAGGTCACTTCACTTTACAACTGTTTCAGGTGAGATAAATGGTTTCCTCTGACCTTGTGAAAAGTTGCACAGAGCTTCCAAATACCTGGTGTACATGCACTAAGACGACCCCTGAACACTCATATCTTCGGTTACCTCTCTGTCCCATGAAGCACATGTGTGCAGTCTATGGACAAGCAAAAGGGTTACTCACATGTCACATTTCTCATTTCAACAAACACATATGCTTTCACACCAACTGTGTACATTAATAAAACTTCAAAAGTTGGCAATGAATGCAAATAAGTTATTTTTCAAAGAAAATGAAACTTTTTGAGATAGTTCACAGTGACCGAGCACTAAAACATATTATAGCCAATTGCTTCATATTGAACCGTCAAACGGCATTATAAACACCATCCGAATGATCATTACCCTGCTGGGATGGTACCAAATTCTGCTGTCTCTAAGGGAACTCTTTATATAGGAAAGACCAAGCACTAAATTCTCCCCTCTCTTTGCTTTCTAGTGTGGAGCTAGATTTTAAGCAGCAAGAAGACAAACTCCAGCCAGTTCTGAGGAAACTCCATCCTTTCGAGGAAACTCAGGTCGCACACTCGCCTTACTCTCAGGAGACTTACTCAACTCCCAAGCAAAAACCCAAAACTGAATCTAAAAAGCACGGACGATGGAAACTCTGGTTCCTTTAAAACTCATGGTGTTTGGAGTCTAAAGGCCGTCTTTAAAACCCACTGGAGTTCAAAGTAAATCCTTTCCCAAAACGAATAGGACGGAGTGAATGGTGGCTGACTCGGACGCCACCAGTTCTCACCCTGCTTACCAAAAAGGCCTTTGTAACAGATCAACTCACAGAAGCGAAGTAGTACATGTCACACCTTGCCAGCTGTTCTTTGCAGTTCGTGGATGTGGGATGTAAAACCGGAAACGAAACTTAACATAGTCAAAGGTGATAAGCAAAAATTCTATGCCCGCACCCCAGATCAGCAAGGATTACATTATCAACCTGCAGAACGGCAGGCTGTCACTCTGTAACACAGCTAAAACTCATAATTATTTTCAAGCCTTTATTTTTTTCTTTAATACTGAGAAGAAAAAGTAGCCCTTACATTTGCAAAGGACTTCATTTTTATGTTTAATTTTGCAAATAAGCGGGGGGCGAGTGCAATTTTCAGCACATCAAATTCCGGAGAAAGCACAATTTTTTTCAAGTGGTCGGAGACCATGAATAATCTCTAAGATGTGACTATATGTATATTTGCCTCATGTGCTGTAGCGCTAAGCCAAGTGACATCTCAGCGTCACACTGACACCTCAGATTCAGCGTTTGTTTCAACTCCAGACCGGTGACGTGCTTACTGCTCATCCTGCAAATGCCCAGCAGCCAGGAGTCCCCCGAAGTCAGGACATGCCTTTAATCACTGCAAGTTGACAGGGTCAGAGCTATCGGACACTAAGCTTTCGTAGATCTCATTTTTAATCTTTTGGTACCCAAAGGCCAAATGATAAATCCTGGCAAGAATTTGAAAACACACGTAGAGAGATACACAGCAGATAATATAGTCACCAATAAATCACACGCGTTCTCTGCCATCGGAAAGTGTTTCTGTGGATCAATCTCTGAGACACTGTTCATCACGAAAGCTCAGTCAGACATTTTATACAATTCGTTATGCTTTGTAACAACTGTAGAAGATCTGACCATCTCAAAGAGAAACCGCGTGCTTAGTTTAGCTGCTACCAACAAACCAACTAACGTCACCTACATTTAACCTATTAGTGAGTTGTACTAAATGACATACCTAGGGGAAAGCTGTGAATCAAATGTTTTTAGGTCTTTTTTAAATAAATCGTGACACTTCGAGTTCTCTTTTGATTACACATTGCAATATAAATCTTAGTTCCTTTATTTTTTCACTCATTCCTTTGCACCTTTGCAAGTATCTTTTTATAGAAATCAAAAGCCCCTAGTCTATTAAGGACTCTTGTCTATGAAGTTTTGGCTTTTCACTGTAGGAAGTAGGGATCTTCTTTTGACTTTTTTTGGTTCAACTTTAATTTTGAGTCGTTTGTGAATGTACAATGAAACCGAGTCTTCTGGTCTCTGTCCAACCGTTTCTTATCTAATCTCGTGCTCACACGCACACCTCACTGACCAGATGCCAATAAGGTGGTCGGCCTTAGTGAAAGGATCTACCTGCGTTTCTCAGATTGGAGCTATTTCTTGCCACGCATTTTCCTCCTGACTCAATAGCAAATCTATTTTCATTCTAAGTGTTTTGATTCTAGAAAGACCTTAGTGGACTTGAAAAAAAAGTGACAGGAGTATCTCATGTAAGCATTCTTTGGGGATTACTCAAGCTATATCACAGATGTGTGTCTTAATTAAAAGAAAAACACGCATCTTTTGTGGACATGATACATGAGGATACAAATCCTTGAATATCAGTTAACAGAATTGAGAAATATTTTTGTGCAAGAGGAAGGCTAAGTTGATCCTGTACCATGAAGGAAGTGCAATTGTTTCATGTAGAGATAAAATTTTAAAAAATGTGTTTCATGTATTTTCTACTCTTTTTAACTAAAGCTATAAAAAATGTTTGCAACAAGCTATCTCTCCTTGTGTTTTCAAAATCCCGACTATCTCAGTGAATTGAAATAAGGGTGTTAGCAGCTCTCTGCTTAGTACCATAATTCCGTCTAACAAAGAGGACATCTAGTAAACAAAGTAACATCACTGTTTGAAAGCAGTCTAGACAAAAAAAAAAAGTTAATATTTTCAGAATCAAAAAGGAAACTGAAGATAAATTCCTATTTAAAAATGAAACTGTCTTCAGAATAGAAAAAAAAATATTTTCAAACTCATTTCATAGTTTAACTGCAAAGTGTCCTAACAGATGGTGACTCCTCTCTTAGAAAGATTTAAGCAAAATCTTTGATACAAAACCAAGGTAAAAAGTACCGTGTTCCCTCATATGTAGATGTACACATGGCATTACGTATAGAGATTAAATTATTATACTTGTCACTAAGTTCTTTATTAATTTTTAAATAAAAAAAAATCAAAGGTCATGTTTTGTGTGGCTATTAATCTTATTTCGTGGTTTCAATAATTTGGTAAAAAATAAGTAATCTGAGGAAATAATAATCAAGGAAAGATGTTCAGGCTGAAGAGAACTCCACTGGGTCTTTGGGAGAGGAGAAGGGCCGTGGGCACTGCCTACTGGCCTGGTCTGGCTGGGGAGGGGGCAGCGCTGAAATCCAGCTCAGACTCAGTTGACCAGACTGCACACCCTGGCATGGGCTTCAGCTGCCAGGAGAACAGGATGGCTTTTAAGGGCAAAGGGCACCGTACACAGCAGGATCTGGCTGAGGTCTAATTTTTGTTTTTATTTTATTTATTTTTTTTTTTGCGGCATGCGGGCCTCTCACTGTTGTGGCCTCTCCCGTTGCGGAGCACAGGCTCCGGACGCGCAGGCTCAGCGGCCACGGCTCCCGGGCCCAGCCGCTCCGCGGCACGTGGGATCTTCCCGGACCAGGGCACGAACCCGTGTCCCCTGCATCGGCAAGCGGACTCTCAACCACTGCGCCACCAGGGAAGCCCAGGTCTAATTTTTAAAGAACCTCCGGGGGACAGCTGAACTCATCAGTGTCTCCAGGGCAAACCCTGCCATGCCCCCCTGCAGACAGACTCTCTCTAGATCATCCATCAAGCAGGTCCACAGCCCCAGGGGGTCGGCCACCTCCTTCCTTTCTTCTTCCCTCCCCGGGGTGGGGGACCAGTGCCCCAGTGGGACTGAGCACCCTGCCTCTCCCACAGAGACCAGCGCAAACCAACCTCCTCTCCCAAGGGAGAGGGCGCCCTGGAAACTCAGGAGAGGAGAGGTCACCACCCCCTTTCCTGGGATCTGCAATAGCAGAGGCCACTTGCAAGGTGCGGGAGCAAGAATTCGGCTGAGACGGAAGGCTCCCACTGCCTCACAAGTTCCTCCGGGGAAAGAAGTGGGTGAGTGCAGCTCAAGTATAGGATAGAGAGGAAGACCCAATGCTCGGAGCACTGGGGGAAAAAACTCCAAGTCACATTCTACAATTATCTGTGAGCCGAATACTGGTGCGGCCTCAGGGGCCCTCTCTTATCGATAACTAGATCCAACAAAGGGCATTCTGCCACACAGGTGCCCACCAGTCATTCTGAAAGTGTGCGACTAGCCTCCAAAGAGAGGTCCCAGGCCTCTGCATCTGGTCCTTCCATCTCAGACTCTCCCCCAAAGCAGAGTAAAACTGGGGAGAAAATCAAGGTGTGGGGAAACCTTGCTGTCTTGGAAAGGGCATATGAAGTTGGCAGAAGTTTCCCACATCCTATGAGGTTGCCAAGGTGTCCACTGCCATGGAGACCTGAGGTGTGGCAGAAATGGCATCATCATTCATGGACCCACACCAGGCCGACTCCAATCTCAAACAGCAACAACGAGCACGCCTTGCAAAGCCATTTTCCTTAGGGTGCCATCGTAGGCAAGGCAGATACACAATCCTCAATTCCAACTCAGAAGACACACCATTAAATTCGAGCGCTTGCTTTGTGCTTCTTATCGAAGACAGCAAGGACAAAATACAAGAAACGGGCCGTGAACCCCTCCATTCCACCCTGTCTGTGAGGGCACAACACGTTTACAAAGCCCACCACAGCTGGAATGATTCTTTGGGAGCATTTTTATCAGCGAATAAAATTTGACGTGACTAGTAAGGAAGACAAGAGTCACTGGTGCAGTGTCACCTAAAGATAATAGCAGCTGACTCGACACTGATATATCTCCTTTTATCTAGAAAAGCTCTACCACTGGCACATTTGGCATGGGATAAGTGTGCAACCAACTTATTTACAGGAAGAGAAGAACTATATGATTCAGAAATAACGTTCTGTTTTGTGAACTAGGGATAACTCATCGTGCTGTAATGCACAGCATACGTTTTGGCAGATGAGAAGGTCATATGCAAGCAGCATAACGCCTTTTAAGGAGCTCAATAATTAATATACGATATGGTTTGGGATGAACATGCAAGAATTGCACAGTATGTTTTACCCAGGTAATGATATGGTTTTCATTTCCTCTGCAGTAAATCCACAGTCAGTGACCAACCTTGAAAAAATACTACGGCCACAGACACACGTGAAAGGCAGGAAAAATTGCTATACCGATACCATATGGAAATGAATTTATAAAGTCATCACAACTCACACGTGTACCTGTGATAGGATGATTTTCTGGAAGTCAGGTGTTTCCTAAGTAGGTTTATTAACAAACATACAAGTTAGAGACACTTTTTGCAACACTGTCCACTTGGAACTTTTATAATGCATTGCTTTCTTTTGCAAGGCAAGATTAAGAATAGCATTTTGTTAAAAGCACATTCATACATAAAGTCCATTAGAATAAATATCGCAAAACAAATGTTCGTGCATGGGGAAATAACATCTTTGTGTAAATATCTGGTGATGAGTCTTGGTAAAAGGGAGTCTTTTACAGTATCTTTTAAATGAAGAAGTATGTCAAGTCATTATAAATCACGCAGGCTCAAAGAAATCAGTGGACTTTTCGCTAGCAGCATCTCTTCCCCACCAATAGCGCCACTGTCACGATGAAACACACCGCACCCGTCTACGTCCCCTACAGCTGGTGTTCGGAGTAGAAACAAAAGAACTTCCATCACTTGAGTCTAGGGGATCAGGAGGTCTGGTGGTCACAAGAACAAGTGGAGAATGCAGGAAGAATGTTTCCCTTTCCTAAGCCTACTTCTGTGGATTTTCCAAGGGAACCTTTCTTTTGAAGAAGGCCACATTTTCATTTTCGTGAATTAGTAAATTTCAGTCTTCTGGTGTGTATCCAGGCCATAGAAGAACCTTTAAAAGTCCTGCTCACTCAATTACATTTTTAAAGGACCCATTAACAGAATGTAAATCTGATTATTTGAAAGAGGCAGCAGAGGCTAATATCACAAGAGAAGGAAGGGTCACGCGTACTACTCATCCTGTCTGCTCTCAACCCAGCTTTGTTTACAGCACTTACTCCAGCAAAGACACAGGCATGTGTGTGTTGTGGGGGGGGGGGGGGGTCAAGGGAGGGGGAAACCATGTCACCTGCCCACCAGACAAGAGCACCTAAGCCACCATGGCCCCCTGCTCAGAACCATACACAATGACCAAGAAGGTGCCCAACGCTGATGGCCTAGAAATCTTTTCAAAGAGGAAGAGAAAAATAAAATCTGAAATCAGACAATGTAAAGCTCAGCACCCCACTCAATTATTCTATAGCATTAGACGATCCTGGAATAAAGATAAAATGGCATCTTAATTCTGTGGCAAGGTTACTGCAAGGCTTCTGTGTTAGGGCCTGCTGTAGGCAACCACGCAATCTACAGTCCTACACTTGCCAAATGGAGTTTTGTTAAAAAAACTATAATACTTAGGATCATGGCATATTTTTATCCTCTGCCTGATATGCATTCCAATAGCCCATTTCAAATATAAAGTTGAAAGGTATAAAATGAACTAAAACAAATGATATATAACCAACTGCATGGTGTTTATAAGGTACCATAGATACAGTTAAAAGAAGACGCTTATACAGTACATCACAGCTTAGCCAATGGCTTGTGACGCTCCCCACTTCTCAATTCCATATATAAACACATGGGGAAACTGTCAGGCCACAACTCATCCCCAACGAGTAACTTGTTTTGATGGAAAAAGACGTCACGCTTCTACTACTGTTGACAATATCATGAAATAAATCATTAAGTGAAGCACAGCTATTCAAAACCTTTTTAATCACTTAAATTGTTAAAGTCCATTTTCAGCGATTCTTTAGAATTTGTGAGCTGATTCACAGTTATACCATTTCCATTCCACTGATGCAAAAAAGAGGAGCAAACACATAAGGGCTGGGATCTCTGTGGTGTAACGGGATGTTACAGCTGAGCCCAAACAGGCCTATAACCATTTTCTGCTCTCTTTCCACTCTAAAAGGGCCACTGATTACGTTTTTCAGCCACCTTGTCAGGGATATTTTCTTCCCCAGCTCTTCCTCTCATCTAAATTCACGGAGCTACAGCAGTGACGTTAAGAAGCTAATGCATAAATCTGCATGGGAGCCCATGTGGACAGCAAGGCTGAGCTCAGCAGGGCAACATTTCAGTCTCACTGCTCTGTGGACGCCACAAAGGGGACTCATGGTTCCTTGACGACTGAAAGAGTCTCTGAACATCTCCAATGTGAAATGGAGAATGTCCTTCCTGAAAACATCTTAATGCTGTCATCACTCATTAAATAATTACAGTTATATTCAGTTGTTTGTTTGTTTGTTTTTTGAGATTCCTTCCCTGACGGCCTAGTTCATTTTAGGAAGGAATTTCGGGCCTCCTTGTATACACATTAGAGATGCTGGCATTGGGAGGAGTTAGCTTAGGACCTAAATCCTGTTCCTGCTTCTGGAGACTTCTGCTGGAGAAGGACAGGGCGGTGGGGGGATGCGCCTGGATGTAGGCAGCTTGCTCTAGTGCCCCGTGGCCCCTGACGGTGCCCTGGACCCCGTCACCTATGCAGTAGGAGCAGGGCCACAGCTAGGTAAGACTGAGCCTGGGTCCTCACTTCATGCCCCCTTGGTAAAGGTGCAAGGGCTCTTCCCAGGCACCCCTAAGGGTTCCTTAGGACACATGGCTTCCTCCAAGCCCTTCAGGAAAGGGGCAACCGATCCGTGGTCTGGCCCGTCTTCCTCCAGGACATCCTGACATTTGGTCCACGAAAACGAATGAAGGTGGCAAAGGGCAAAAGGTGCTTATTTCCCTGGGCGGCTGCCACACTAACTACGATGCCGAACCAGGAGGAATTCTGAGCCCGCCTCTGGGCCTCCTGGACCAGCACTGAGATCAGCACCATGTGTCTCAGTCGCACAGAGACACCAAGGAAAGCCAGCTCTGGCGCCAACCCGGGCTCCCCACAAGCGCCGCCACGCTAGCTGTGGGTCTGGGACCGTTTCCCGTCTCTCTGCAAGGCATTTCTGCAGCGGCCTATGCACGATGAAGCGGAGGGTTAAGTGAGGACCCTCCATTCATTACACAGTGCCCAGCACGTCCACAAATGCTCGGTGAGAGCAGCTATTACTTGCGCCGCTATTATCACTATGTCTGAGATGTGAGAAATTTCCCAAAGGCATCCAGGACCACATGGTCTGAGAGAAGTCACCACGCTCCATTCTAGATCCTCTGACTGAGCTCCAAGCACGTCTTACAATCTGGCCCCAGGCTAAGGTCCCATCCAAAACTTTATGGGCTTCCTCCCTGCCCTCCTCTCCCCAGTTCAACTGCTGGCCAGTGTGGGCTTATAACCCAAGTGAACACACCCCTAACCAGAGACAGAAACATCTCATCAGTTCACTGGCCTCCACGTCGGCCATGTTCTCCATCTGCTCATCGTGAGTGCCCAACACGTTCACTGTGACTCCGTGACAGCCAGAACGTCACCTCAGCCCCGCTGCTCCAGCCTGTTCCAACAGGGGTCTTAGCAGAGTGACACCAAACTTGGTTCAACTTGAAGGCACATTCATTCTTTCTACTTAAAGCCCTCTTGAGTTCCACAATGAGAGAGTGTTCCAGGGGCACCCAGGGCACAACCCCAAGAAGACGGGAACACCGGACCCCGGGGGTGCCCCTGGAGTCACCCCAATTCTTCCTCCACAGGGCTCAGTCTCCACCCACGTATACAAAAGCATTTCCAGATTACAGAAAAGAATCGTTACGATGAAGAGCATGATTACAGAATGGAAAATCCACTGCAAGTAACGCCAATTTACAAGGAAATATTTTATTCCCTAATTTATACATGTTATAATCCAAACCTAAAAGAGATATACCTTAAAAAGGAAACTCTGCACATAACATGTGCTGAAACCCTGAGACATAAAAACTAGACGATTTTACTGGATGGAAACATGCAAAGGCAGCAACTATTCTCCTGTGACTGACCCGAAACCACAGACCGCAGCCTTTACTGTGATGCAGCCACAGAAGCCAACACAAGCCCAGTGCTCCGGTCTTGCTTTGCGGCCTGACGGAGACAGACGGGTCACTGTACTTGATCCGTTCCCAGGCTACGCAGACAGAACTAAAATCACCCAAGGAAGACCAATGTGCCTAGTCTGATTGGCAGCGAAGACTCCAACTGGATTTTCTGTTCTGTGATTAGGAAAGCTAGTTTTCTGAAATGCGATCCACCAAACTCAGTTACGCGGTAACATGTACTAGAAATGAAAGAAATTAAATGGGACCTACAAATGCATCTTTTGCCCACGAAACCATATTTAAGAATAATGATGGTGAGGAGGAGAGTGGCAAACTCTGGAAAAAATCACCATAATATGAAAATGCTCCGGTCTTGCTTTAGCAATAAGCTTGCTAAATTATTGTTAAAACTCTGAGAAAAAGAACAGATACCATTCCTTGTCTCGACAATCTGAACAGGACAGAGATCTACAATACTTTACAGTAGACATAAAACAGCGAAGTCGGAGGGCCTCAATTCCTTTTTAAGGCCCTTCATAAAATTTTATTAATGGCATCTTAAATGTAAATACGTAGAAAGAAACTGCCAGAAGAATGAGGACTTAGAAGAACATATACATCCTTTGCTAGAAGTAAGCAATGAGAAAACTAGAACCAAATGTTGGTTTGTTACTCTTCAACTTTGACACTTATAGAATCGTGGAAATGAGTACCTTTAACCTACTAGACTGTAAATAAATGCATCCCCACTGCTTGCTGTACCGTTGTACGACATGGTTAGTTTCAAAAGGCAGGTGGGAAAGAACCACATGGATTTTCGGGCTTGAGAGTGAATGACTTTCCCGGGAAAGATGCTGTCAGCCACAATGAAACCCACAAGCGTGTGTCACCGAGCACTTACGATGAGTTCGGAATCCCGTCCCATGGAAATGACGGTTCGGTTCACTGTCCGGAGAAGCTTCTCCATGATAATCTGGACATGCCTCTGAGTTGGTCCCTGCAGGAGGACACACCAGTGTAAATATACCACCACCTAAGATAGTCATTAACATGCCCGTCCCGCGGCTGTCACTGAATCCATTTATCCTGTAAAGAGTAAATCAACTACAACCCTTAACGAGATGGAAAATGGCCCTTGTCAGAGGCAAAAGCCTTCACAAAGAAAACTCAAGGCATTTTATTAATTATAGTCCATTAATGATAATGTGTTATATAATCATAGTAATTTAATTGAAGCAAACCTTAAAAATAAAAGCAACTCTGTTTAAACAATATAATGTTTATGATCCCTGATTAGCTCACCAATGAGTTTTCTAAAGACACTTGGCCATTTGTAAATGCAAGGCTGACAGATAACAACCATAGATGGCTCTGCATGTCAGGTCCCAATAATGTGGGAACAATCACATGGAATCGAATGTTTAAATATCATTTTAGCACACTACTTAAAATTCAGAGTGCCAGAAAACCTTCTATCAGTAAGAATTTGCTCCTTTGTGTGTGATGGGACTGCCGATTCTTCTTCATGAACTTTGAACGTGTTTAAACGGGCTTTCTAGATGCTTCCGCACAGGCCAGGCAGGCACTACCTCCTCTGTGAGGCTTGGCCACACAACCTCTTTACTCCCAACCTTTCATCTGATAAGAAAAGGAAAAGGCCTGGCATGGGACCCCTGGACGCTGGCCTTTGGGTTAAGGCTTCCAACACCTTTCAAAGGCAAAGCCCGGGAAGAGCGGATGCAGCCACCATCCCAATGAATTACTTTACCTTATCTCCTTCTTCAAGGGCAACACCCAGGCTCTGAGAGAATGAGCAGGTGCAGCAAGGAAGTGGGCAGGAAAGGTGCGTGCCTGCGCGTGCACGCACACGTGTGTGTGTGTGTGTGTGTGTGTGTGGACTGGGGAGGTGGCAGGAGGTCACGTGGGGAAGAGCTAAGATCAAGTCCTGCCGACTTAAAATCCTGGCCCATCTGGCCACTGCTAGAGGCAGACACACTGCTAGAGGCAGAGACAGACATGGCCCTGTACACCTGTCTAGACACACCTGGAGAACCAATGTCTTTACATGTGTGTGCACACGTGTGCCCAAATGAATGTGCTGGGTACAATGGGGTCGCGGAAGCACAGGGTCAGATGTTTCCATATGTGCTTGCACCAGCTTTTGATTAAGACAGAAGGTCAGTGGAATAAGCATACAATTGAGAAATGCAAAAGGAAATACCATTTAAAAAAAAAACAGCCAAGAAAGCACAGGAAAAAACTGCCTGTGGGGGGAGGAACCCAGGAAAAGGGGCAGAGAACTGCTCTTCTCAAAACTCTCGGACGCACTTAAAACAACCAACAACTATGTGCATGTGTAAAACAATAATGTTGTCTAGTTATCACATACAAAATAATAATTGAAAGGAAGTAGGCAGTTAGCCTCCTGTTGTTTACTTCTAATTTTTAATATCAAATCTAAGTCTTGGGAGTCACTTAGCTGAGAAGTCATAGGAAACAAACATGAAACAGTATCTTCAGTGCTGAAAAGCACACGTGGTAATATAATCATCATGCTTTACACATAAATAAAAAATAATTTGAGGATGCAACTCTAGAGAGAGAAAAAGAAAGGGTAACCCTTAAAATTCAGGCCATCCTTTTTTTCTTTTCTTTTCTTTTTTCTTTTTTTTTTTTTTTTTTTGCTGTACGCGGGCCTCTCACTGCTGTGGCCTCCCCTATCGTGTAGCACAGGCTCCGGACGCGCAGGCTCAGCGGCCATGGCTCACGGGCCCAGCCGCTCCACGGCACGTGGGATCCTCCCATACCGGGGCACGAACCCGTGTCCCCTGCATCAGCAGGCGGACTCCCAACCACTGCGCCACCAGGGAAGCCCCCGGCCATACTTTTTTAACTGAATCAAATACAACTTGGTCCTGGGAGGCTGGGGCCCCTGGGGATCGCAGGCCCACACTTGCTGCAGGGTCCACAGAGGTAGCCCCGCCATTACTCACCACGTCCTTCCTGTACAGAACCTCCAGGATGTTGCTGAGCAGCTGGCAGCAGGCCTCCAGATCTTCCTGTCTCTCCAGATGGTACTTGAGCTGATCCGTCATCATGGGAAGCAGGATCTCTCTGCAGTCTGCAGGGGACACCGGGTTGCCAGTCAGCAGGAGACCCACCAAGATGCAACTCTGTTTGCTAGAAGCTTGTTTTCCTAGCTTGTGACACTGCATGTTACATTTACATACTCTGCAATGTGAAACTGACATCTGGAGGGGGTCAGACTACTTGACTGGGAGGAAATCACTTGTTTTCTTATAAAATAATTCACTCCCGTGTGCACGCATATGTGTGTGTGTCACCATGTAAATATACAACGATAGTTCACAAACAAACATATAAATACATATTCACGTATATCCAACAGTATGTACATAGATACAAATGCAAACAAGCATGCTGGGGTTTTAACTAATTTTCTGTGCTGAACTGTAAATTTACTGATTTGCAACTTTAGAAGAAATAGTTGTTACAACAAAAATGATTTGAATTGCAGCTCTTCTTATTATTTCCTAGGAAGACCAGAGCATGGTTCCTTCCTGCTCCCATATACCTCCCGAAGTTTCCTGAGCTTGGCCGGTTCATAGCTTACTAAATTCCCCACTTAATGTTTACCCACTCGGGGACAACTTTCTGCTGGGCTCACATCTGCAGAGGGACAGTCTGCAGGGGGCTGAGAGCTCAGGCTCTGGAGTGAGGTTGGCTGGGTTTAAATTCCGTTGGCTTCCTTGCAAGGTTATCTCGGGCAGAGCTAGTTACCTCTCTGAGCCTCGGTTTCCTCATTGCTAACATGGGCACAGTGGCACTAGCTACTCACAGGTCTGAGGTACAATGTACTCCTGGCAAGGTGAGGCAAGAAGGCCTGGGCCTGGCACAGGTGAGATGCTCAGGACAGGGTACTTGCTCTTATGATGTGATACAGATACTGGTGAAGAGCCCCAGCCCCTCTTTGGTCTCCCAGACCCCTGGGCTAATGAGGGAGGGGGCGGCGGGGAGCAGGTATTGACCTTGGAGGTGAAAGTTAGGGAGGTAATACATTCACCTGCTGGGAAGAGGAATCAGAATTTCCCACAAAGTGGGGGGCCATCCAGGAAAAGGAACCCTATTCACAAAGTCAAGTAGACAGGAGCAGATGACATATTCACAGAGCCACATGCACAGTTCAGAAGGGTGGGGAGAGGAGAAGCAGAATAAAAGACCAGGCGGGCAGTTGGATTTCATCCTGAACATGATGGATGAGACAGAAAGAGGTGGAGAACTGGAAGATGCTGACAGGGAAGGGATATGATCAGATCAAAAGGCCAGAGACAGCAGCCGTGATGGCGCCAGGTAGGGCAGTGGAGATGGGAGGCTCATTACTGGACAGGTTAGCTAATGCAATAGTCCAGGCAAGAAACAGTAAAGGCCTGACCTCCTGCTACAGTGGCAAGTTTGAAAGAAGAGGCCTTGAACAAAAGCAAACTGGAGGCAGGCTGAACACAGTGGCAGGTGATGAAGTGGAGAGGAGGGTGGGGGCTAAAGGAGAGTCAAACACAGCACCCAGCATCTTCGTGACAAGTTCATCCAAGGCACCATGTGATGCCATCCAAGGAGAGGAAACTGGGGACAGAAGGGTGTTTAAGGGCAGAGAAAAGGACCAGGTTCTGGACACGTTGAATCTGAGTTGCTGCTGGACATCCAAGTGGCCTCATCTAGTAGGAACATGGAGAGAGGGTTCTAGACCTTAGAGATTTCCAGCCTTACAGACTGAAGAAGCAACAGCCCTAGACCATAATAAATGCCAAGTATGTGAATAAGACCATCAAAGAGGAATGTGTAGAATGAGAAGGGAAAACTGTGAACAGCAGTCAGGATGTTGGTATTAGAACAGAACATGGAGCGAGGAAAGATGTGGGCTGACGCAGAGATGAATGACATCACCCAAACCAAGGGAGGGCAGGTGGCCAGCGTGGCCAAATATGGTGGCAAGGACGGGTAGAAAAGCACAGCCCTGGGATGTGACAATAAAAAGCACACCGAGGAGAATTCCCTGGCGGTCCAGTGGTTAAGAGTCCACGCTGCCAATGCAGGGGCGCGGGTTCGATCTCTGGTCAGGGAACTAACTATTCCACGTGCCGCGCAGTGCAGCCCAAAGATCGAAAAAAAATAAAATTAAAGAAGAAATAAATAAAAGCAGATGGAGTCCTTCTCAAGGCAGCTTCCTGGAGTGGGATGAGAAGACGAAAATAGAAGCCCAGACAGGGCTCTGGAAAGCACGGCTGTGAAATAAAGGCACACTGGGGTCTAAGGATCAAAGATCACTTGGGTTTTCATTTGTTTTTTAGATAGGACAATAGAAAGAATGTTCAGAAAAATCAAAGAAAAATAATGAACCAGACACAAATAAGACTCGAGATGAAATGCAATTACTAATTGTCTCTTCCTGTTGGGAACTCCTGTTTAACACCAGCACCATCCATCCCCCAACATGACCTGTCTGCTGACAACACCAGCTCTGTATGGTGAAGCCAGCCCGGCCACTGTAGGTCCCTTTAAAATGCAGTGCACGAGACAAAAGACAGCAGAGCTCGGGAACATTAAATATCCTGTGCTTGCTTTTAGAATTTTACCCTTTAGGACTTCCAACGTTAACGATACCTAAAAGCAAGTTTTGCATTAATGTTTCCTGAGTTTTCTGAACATAAGGAAAAAATAAGCATGCAACATTGGAATGGTTCCTGAAAGTATGCAGACTTGCTTAGAAGACTTTCCCAAGAAGTACACGATAAAGAAGGCATGGGGCTGGAGGCGCGAGGCAGCTCAGGGGGAGGTGCAGAAACCGCACACGCCCTTCAGCTCCTCTGCCCTCCAGGGGACCGCATGTAGGAAGCTCACGCTAAGGCTTTTTCAAGCTCCATTTTTATTTAATCCCTAGAAAAGGAACTGAGAGCAACTCCATTTTTCCAGATTGAGTTTTGTCCAATGAATATATGAGTATATGCATTTACTTGTTGATGTCACCATTACAGTAACAAATACATAGGCAGGGGTAACAGAGACATGCTGAAGTGCTGCATATCTTCCTGGCAGGGGCCAGCCGGGCTTGGATGACTATGTTGTCAGGGGTCGCCGAAGGTGAGGGAGTGAGAGCACAGCACAAGGAGGCGGTGCTGTCCCATGGGGACCAGGCAGTCTCTCCACATTGGTGCTCCTGGATGTCACGGGCCGTCACACGATTCCCTTATCTTCCCACCCAACCCTTCCTGTGACGCCAAGGGTGAACACAGGACCCCATGGAGAGCATCTCTCTGAATGCCACAGCCCCTTGAACTTGTGATGGAAGTGATCCCAAGCCGAGACGGGCTGCCAGCATGGAGGGGAGGGGGGAGCCCAGGCATCAGAGAGCCGCCCAGGGACAAACCCAGTCCAAGGCACATGCCACAGGAAAATGACCACGTGCAGTGAATCCAGCCTGAAAATGCAGTTGCCCAAAATGCTGACCCACTGCATACACGAACTCCACAAGCATCCCAAATCCAATGTCTTTCCTACACAATCCTGACGTTCGCAAGTTATATCTGCCCCGGTAGCTCTGTTGACCTTCCACACCACAGCACAACATCCACAGTAGGGGCTACACTCCCAGCTCCCAGCACCCAAGGGGCAGGAGAGGTCCCTTGACAAAGCTGTCTGAGTGCAGCCCCGCCTGCGTTCAGCCTCAAGGTCCCAGGCAGGACATCTCCAGGATGAGTCCTCTTTCCCTCCCACATCACCCAGTGTGACCTCAACAGGGGGTGAGCCCTCGGCCACCCCTGTCCGCGTGGTCATGCCTATCACTGCCACCACCATTCTGGGGATAAGTCTAGTTTCCAAGACATGTCAGTGGGAGAAGTAAGAGCCACGAAGAGCTGAGCAGGTAAAAACAGACCCTGACCACATGACCAAGGAAAACATGAGGATGGAGGCTTAGCAAAGCCATGTCTGAAGCAAGCCTGGGAGGGACCCAACAGCAGTAGAAGGCCAAGTGGGCTTGCTAGGCCAGCGCGGGAGCAGGCGTGTGTCCACGAACAGCCCTAGAGGATCAGGGAACACAGCTCTGGACTCAGAGCTTGCAGAAATGGCTCTTTAGGCCCTGGCAACCCATATGCTCTGGCCAAAGTCCATTCCATACGGCCTCATTTATCTGTCACGTTGGACAGGCAGGTGTGGACTTTACCGTTCTCAGAAGTAACTGAGTATGTTGGTGTCATCTGTCAGAATTACTCCAGGGTGAGGGAAGTGATGGCCGCCCTGTCCATCTTCCCCGGGGAGAGATGCTACCAGCCATCCTTGGCTACCTGGTGGAAACGCCCACCCTCCACCCAGCCCAGGGGTCTGTGATGGCTCTGTGCAGTTGTTATCCAGCCTCTTCTGAGGCTTTGGACACCAAACTTTTGGACACTTCACTACCATTTTGTCACGTTTAGAGACATTTCATTCTCCTAGCCCCTAAGAACATAAAAAACCCATTTGTTATAATCCTTCAGATGAACCCATAGTATTTACACGTGGGATGTTTTCAACATCCATAGGACAACTGTAGCTCTAACTCCATAACCCACCCCATCTCTGGCTGGTCAAGATAAAGGCGGGTCATGGGGATAAGCCTACTTTATCGAGAGGATGAAACAAGACACCACGAGCAGGACTTTGTGAGGGTCCAACATTCCTGTGTGGAGGACCACACCTCCGGCCCCAGGACAGGGCCCCATCCCCTGACCACACGCCCATCACAGGACCAGATCACCAGGCAGGAGCAGCCTCTTGCCTGGGCTTTTCTTACAGGCACAATGACCACCCCAGGCATCTCATGCAGGCCTCCAAAGACAGAGGGTCACAGGGCAGCAGCGCCTTCAGAAACACGTCCCAGGTCCCCACAGGAAGAATGGCAACGCCCCAGAGTCCTGCAGCGGCCACAGGGACCAAAGCTGGAAGCAGCCCAAGCTGACACACCCACCTTCTTGGTGAGCCATGATCAGCAGGCCCCAGCTCAGCCCCCCGACGGACCTGGGGACAGGCAGGCCTCAGGTGCCAGCTCTGGGACTGCTGGAAATTACGACT